GACCACCTACACTCGCACGCCCTCAGCACTGAGGGCCTCTTCACCAGACCAGGTCTCAGCAAGGAGCTCTGCGAGATCAGGTTAATATCTGGTGGCTGGTGCATGTAGTGGTGGGAGAACTTGGTATATTGTGCTACGGTGGCTTGGGTTTACGGGAGATGGCGTCCTGTCAATCTTCTCTATAGTTACAGTAAGGGACAGACAGTGCCCCACCCACATGAATAAGACGTGGAATCTCATGAAGTCAGAATTTCCTCACATTCCATCGGAATTAAATAGGAATAGCTATATAAATATGTTCCTTATGACCTTATCCCACAATCACCGTCGCAATTTCTCTTTTCTCCAAACCTACAACAACAGCAGTCCACACCGCTACTTTCCTTTCATACCTCATGCCTTTAACCTCATCCTCATCAATAGCCTTCATCATCATCCGTATCTCTCTCTCACACGCATCACAATCCTCATCAGGTGTACAGCAGTTTCCTTTATACCCCCATCACATCATTCCCTTCATACCCCATCACATCATTCCCTTCATACCCCATCACATCNATAACCCCATCACATCATTCCCTTCATACCCCATCACATCATTCCCTTCATACCCCCATCACATCATTCCCTTCATACCCCCATCACATCATTCCCATCATACCCCCATCAATTCTCTCATTCCAGCAGGTACGTCCATTCACACACAGCTCTTCCTACCTCCCACACAAAACAATCCCTGGCTGTGCTACCATCATGCGCGAATAAACGAATCAAGACTTTATAAGCGAAAAAAAGCAAAAAATCACTATTTATTGTGCGAGAAAACACACACAAGTACGCAAGTACAAACCCACGCATGAAATTCACAAGTGAGAAAATACTTTTTATGCTCAATTATACGTTATCAAACAAAAATTTAATTGAAGTTTCCTAAGTTTCTGAGAATTAGACTCTACAAACGTTGTCTGAATAACTCTTCATTTTACAAGTCATAGCAAAATAAGCTCCTTTCCAAGGGACCATCCTCATATTATAAGACCTTAATTAATTTTTAGTTTCGTTTTTTTACTTGAGAGATTTTTTGTTCCGATTTTGAACTGTATCACCACCAATCAGTATACGGTAGACAACACTTACATGTTCGTGGATTGCTTAAAATTTTTCAATAATGTTCAGGAATTGATTATGGCTTCGTTTGATGTAGAAAATTTGTTTACCAATATATCCCTCCATGAAACTATCGAAATCTGCCTATATTCTTTGTTTAAAAGTGTCAATGACTGTGTCATGGGTTTGAACCGCAACTGTTTTAAATTTTTTTCCTAAATTATCTGTTTTAAACTCAATTTTTGTATTTGCTGGCAATTTTTATTGACAATTTGAAGGTCTGAGCATGAATCTTCCTCTCCGCCCTACCTTTTCTAACATTTTCATGTGTTTTCACGAGGCTACATAGCTATCCAATTGTCATCTTGATTATAAGCCACTATTCTATAACTGATATGTCGATGACACTTTTTCAATTTTCAAGCATCCCTTTCATGTAGGCCTTTTCTTTGATGTTCTTAATCTCCAACAATAGTCCATCAAATTTCCCAGGGAGTGATTTTCTGATAGTGATTTTAGAGTTTTAGCCTCCACAACCGGTTTTTTTGACCTGCGAATTTTAGAGTCCTTGTATATTTTTTAAACGAAAGCCTAGTCTAAATGCTGCTTGCAGTTCATATCCCCTACAAATTGTAAATAGATAGGTTTGTCTGCTCACTTTTACCTCATTCTTATTTGTTTTCATTTGACAATTTATGTTTTAATATCTTCAATGTAAATTTTAGTTCGCTAATTGTTTGTACTTGTGTTTCAAGTTTTTGAACTGACAATGGAGCTGGACTCCAAAACGTTTTCTCGCATAAGAAATGGTGATTTTTTTCACCGTTTTCTTTGCTTTTAAATTCTTTCGTGAATTTTCGATTTAAGCAATCGAGTGATCTCAATTCTGAAAACATTTATATTTTGGCATTGCTTTCACTACCAAACGTAAATAACACTGGTAGTAATACTGATTACCTATTTGGGAAGGGCATGGAAACTGATGTTCATAATTTTCGTATAGTTTTTATTGTCCATGTCGTGCAATATAGAACATACACGACCTCGTTCATGTAGCTATTACATGAATACGACTTAACAGTTACATTATTCAATTCTCTTTATTCATGAAGGAAAGAAAATTAAAGCAATAGAAAACTTTTTTCCATGAAAGCACTAATTATGAAACCCGTATATGAAGGCCACTTTCGAAATACGCCGCATATGTAGGCCACATTTAAAATACGCCGCATATGTACGCCACATTTAAACTACACCGCATATATAGGCCATATTTAAACTACGCCGCATATGTAGGCCACATTTAAACTACGCCGCATATGTACGCCACTTATAAAATACGCGTATATGTACGCCACTACGCCACTGTTGTAAGATTGATTGTGTACAGAGCGGCGCTGGACGCCGGCATGCCGTCCCGTGAGCTGGGCGTAAGCGTGCACAGCATCGCGCAGGCGCTGCTGGTGTTCCTGGAGGCGCTGCCTGAGCCCGTCGTGCCCTGCAGCCTGTACCCCGCTGCCCTGAGGGCCGCCGCTGAGGGATACCTCCCCGCCAAACAGGTCGCCCTCTCATGCTCACCTCCGAAATGAGGCTTCTGCCTGGTAGAAATAGACTGGCATGGCCGTCATTATACTAAAACTATATTATCTTTCAAATATGATATAAAATTGGTATATATTATTTACCAAAATAAATGCTAAATAATGTTATGTAGTACATACCAAAATTAATTGGTAGGTATTGTGGTGAGCTCCACACGCCAATGTAGAAAAAGTTTATTACGTACGAATATACAAGTCGATATACATTGCTGAACAATCGACATTGCTTCGTACGTGCTCTGCGTTAGTACAGACCAAGTAATGAGTGCAAGAGATACATCACACAAAGCCTGCTAACTCGTGTGCAGGTGGTATCACAGATGCCGGACTACCACCGTAACGTGTTCACGTACCTCATGGCTTTCCTCAACGAGCTGCTCGTCCACAGACATGAGAACAAACTCGACGCTTCTACTCTCGGTAGTTTATAGTATTTAGCATGTGTCTTTTCGAGGTATTTGGCATGTATCTTTTTATGGTCATATGTCATTTTATGGTATATAACATATGTCTTTTTATGGTATTTAGCACATGTCTTTTTATGGTATTTAGCATTGTTCGTCTACCACTTCCTTGTCAACGAGTAGCAAGTTGTAACTCCTGGTAACATGCAGGGAAGGATTAACACGTCATCTGATTGCCGAAAATCTAATGTGCACGTTACGAAGTTACGAAAATCAGGTCCAGAACTATTTAGTATGATTTCGTTTTGTTCTTGAGAAATCTTATTTTGTTCTTTTCGTTTTGTTCTTGAGCAATTTGATTTCATAGAAGGATATATTGTTGAATAAGAAACAAGATGGACGGGTAAGCCTTCCGCAAAAAGCCTGCTTTTTGTATGCGAATCATTAGGATTATATTAAATTTAGAATCAAAGTAATTGTGTTTTGGTACAGAAATTAAAACCTTTCAAATTTTATCGAGTTACAGATTTTCTTTTAGTATTGCGGTAGAAACGAAGGGTGTTATTATTGATTAGAAGAGTCATGCATTTGC